TATTTCTGTAGTGGGAGATTTTCAAGCTCATTGGAAAATATTCAAGTGAGTTGGTCTGGTCTTTTTTTAACCATGTAGAGTACTGAGTGAGGCTGATTTACTAAAAAAAGTTGAGAATCTTCACTGAAAACGTTTGTGAATGTTCACTTCAATGATAAGATCACATGAAAAGCAAGACAATTGTGAAAGTGAACACATCACATAAATTACAACATGAGGATGTTCAACTTTTTTAGTAAATCAGCCTCAATATGTATCATCAAGTGAAGATAGCCGGGGGAACCACCAGTACAGTAAGATCTCCACACATAATTTCTGGTCAGCCTAATTTATGTATGAACATTTTTTAGACCCTGTAGGGGTTTATAAGGTTATTTATTATTTTTAAATGTTTGGACTTTGTAAAGTAACAGATACCTTTAGCCTTTATTACACCCTATAATAACATTGTACATTTTATAATAGAATAAATGATAGCTAAGCTGGAAAATAATTTTGACAAATATCTTGTCCTTAGACATTATTGTTGTACTTTAACAGTATCATTAGGGTTAATTTAGGAGTATAGCAAAGTCAATGTTCACTTTGAAAAGTGTATCTTCTCTTTCCAGAGTCAATGATAATAAATAACGTGTTCACACTGAATAAATATTCATGTTCAAGGAAAAAAAATCACAGGATATTTGCTACACCATTGGTTTATTAAAATGAAGACAGTTTCATCTTTTTAAGCTCAGTAAACATTCACATTACATAGTGAACTTTGACTTTTTGCCAAGTGCAAAGGCTTTATTCTTCTTAATCAACACTATTGCTTTTCTTGTTCTTCACATGACAAAATCTCCCATGTGGTGACCATAGATGGCCCAAAAATAATTCTCTAATTTTTAAAGCATTCTTCCTCATAGTGAGGAAGTATTTGTATTCCTAGGACATGTAATAAGGACATACTTAATGATACCCCCTACCCCCTTCCTGTGCCATTAACGTTTTATAAAGAAATTAGAGAACAAAAAACTGCTTGAGAAGCTGAGAACAGGAAGATTCCACTACCCATTGTTGGAGTATTGTGGTATGTTTGAGTGCTGCAGAAGAGCAGATATCTCTGAGTCGATTATTTTAGGAGATCTCTGCCTGTCTATGGCTAGCTTCACCTGAGACAGATTATCAGCGAAGCTGAAGCATTTCTGTATTTTATGATGTCAAGTCTGGAGATTTCTAAAAGGAAAAAGGATGTGCACTTCTTACAAGGGGTTGTAGCCATAAAGTGCAACAATTAAGATTGTGGCTGGCGGAGCGAACAGTAACCAGGGGAAAAATTCCCATCTACCAATGTCAATTGCTGTTTTTTGTTTAGCAAGTCAATTGCTGTAATTCAGGGTTGTATTCAGCGTTGGTTCCATTCTGACTATTACTGTTAAGAGCCTGAAGAAAATCAAGAGGTGAGCTTGGACGATGTGCACTAGCCAGCTCGGAGCACGTAAATATTCGTCCTTTAAACCAGAACGGCTAGTGAATTGTATGGTGGGGGATGGGACTTCCAAGAGGAAGACGGCTTCAAAAGGGTATAATTAAAATGATATTACATTCCAGGGATTTCCAAGTCTGTAGATTGTTGTGTTATAGTAAATGCAACCACATAAGGCACAGTTCATTTTGGTGAATTTGTATAACCAGTCATAAACCAGCAATGAGCAGATTGGTCTGACTTACTAAAGGAGTTAATATTCTTCACACAATAATTGTGTGACTATTTACTTCAGTTATCCAATCATGTGCAAAATTCTGTAAATAATGAATAATCATAGGAATTTAAGTTACACACATTTGCAAATATCACACAATTTATTGTTGGAAGAGTCTCAACTCCTTTAGTAAATCGCCATAAATGTTTTCATTATTCACAGATAATTGTACTGAGGTTTGCACAGCACAGAATTGTACTTGAAAAACAGCACCCTTGTGGTTCAGATTCTCCTTTACTTACATATATATACACAAACAATTCAAACAAAGGAAGCCTGAGTAACCTAAAGATTGTGTAAATGGTTCCTTCAAGTTCAGAATTATCAAAGTGCAAGAGAGAAAATAAAATCGTACCTCCTAGCAGAGAGCAGCAGTATTTTCTCCTCCATTATCTGGTGAAGTTTATTGCACAAGTGTAGCCTGGGGATAAATACCTCCTAGTAGCTTGTCTCCTGGCTCTGGACACACTAGACGTTCCAAGTAACCATGCCTTCCTTCTCTGCCACGTGCAGATTAGAGGTTCTTGTCTCCCATGTCAGAAGTTCAGCATTTTTGTAATTAAATGTGCATTGAGATGATGACCGTAGGTTATAACAGACGTAGATGTACATCAATCATTTCTTGGATATGTAGAACTTTAGGTAGTCAAACGTTAAACAGTGTCACGTATTGATGATGTTCTAGTGTAATATTAATATCTGTATGACTGCAGAAATTTGGAATAATTATCTCCAGTGCCCAGGCACAGAGGAGCATTCAGAGTACCCCACCCCTTGTTTTAGGTTTTTGAGAGGGGAGGCACCCCTCTCAAAAATATATATATATATATATATATATCAATATTAAACCAATCACAAACATAAAAAATTACAAAACGAATCAAATAACATCACAGCTAAATAGAAGGCAAAAACGTCTGACTTTTGGCTGCTGATTACTCCAAGGCAGAAAAACTATAACGTAGCAATGACGTCTACATGACAGAAATATATCTAGCTTCACATGTGACAGATTACAACTTTTCTTTTGTTAGAATATTTGTGGTTCTTAGGCTGCTATGAAACTTTAAAGTCACAGCATGTACTGTTGCAAGTATTAAGAAAATGAATAAATCATGCTAGTCAAAGCGAGTATTCTATATTCACAATGCAGAGCAGGCTAAGTCATGGCAGAGAACAAATTTATATTTTTATGTTGTTGCCCAGTAGCCAGCAGTGGAAAAATTGTGTGTTGTATGCATTCTATTACATGTAAGCCACCAATAGCAGAGAACTGAAGAGAAGATATATGGGGTAGATTTACTAAAAACGGTGCACTTAGAATCTGGTGCAGCTGTGCATGGTAACCAATCAGCTTCTAACTTCAGCTCGTTCAATTAGGTTTTGACAATAAAAGCTAGAAGCTGATTGGTTACAATGCACAGCTGCCCCAGATGCTGTATGCATCAGTTTTAATAAATCTCCTCCATAGACACAATTATGCCTGGAGGCTGCAGATAATAATCATTTAGGATTGTTGTGCAGAGTTAATTATCGAGACACTGACAAACATACCAGAAACAGTTTACTTTAATAAATGAACAGACCTAAACCTGATTTGTAATAAATTATTTAGATATGTACCTGACAAGCTATTTATAACAAAATCCGATATGTCACCGACCTTAAAAAAGAGCAGGGCTGCAATAAGGGTTTTATTTATGACAATATTTGAAGACTTCATTATAAACGTTCAATGCAAAAAATATAGAGCATCATACAAGTGCCTTTTAAATTTTCCTTCAAGACATATAGGTACCGGCTGGACCTGCAAAGTTATCTGAAAAGTAACAATAGCTCCGGAAAACATCAATCCTGGTATAACTACTTGTCGGCCATATGTATTAACATCCGTTACCTTTTTCAAAGGTTCAGGGGCTTTTTCACCTACAGATTGTCAAAGAGAAAAAAATTATATATATATATATATATATATATATATATATATATATATATATATATATATATATATATATATATATATATATATCATAAGTGCTGGGAAGAAAAACAAGTTAAAGACAAAAACAAATATCTGTTTCATTTCCGTTGGGAAATTGCAAAGATGGAAATTACCACCAAGCTACTTTTTTTTTAAAATCCTGGGTTATTTGATAGCTAAAAGCAGAAAATACAAGACAGGGATTTACCAAAGTGACGTTTTCCTTTAACATCTAATGTGCAAAAAAAAAAAATCAATTTTTTAAACTCCCTCCTTACAGCTGGATGATTGAAATTACCACAAGTTGACTTTAATTCACTTTAGTAAATCGCCCCCATCCTCCGTCCCTCCCAAGGCAGTAAGAATTTCACATCTATATAGTTGTGGACGTCACACAAGACAAGTTCAATTCAGTGGTCCTTCAACATTGACATGTAACTGCCACAATAAATCTAAAACAGCTAGAAAGTAAAATGAGCGCAAAACGATCCACATCATTCCAGAGTTTGAAAGACAAAACAATAAATACTCTGGAAAAGGCTTCTCCTTAGAAAAATAATTCCATTTACTTTGTATTTAAATCCGCGCTAATAAGACATTATTGCAATATATACCACCATAAAATCATAAAAGAAAAACATAAAGTATATGTACAAGATACTCCTTTTACTGTCATAAAATACAAAATGCCCCTGGGACCATTCGCCTGTATGATTTGTTTTTTTGGCTGCATAACTGTCTGCGTGTATAGCAAGGTCGCACATGAATTCTACGACTCCCCCACGTTGTATGATCTTGATTTACACACTATACTGAGACAATGAAAGACGTGAAATTACGTCACTGGTTGTAAAAGGCTTCTTACATTCACAAAGAAATTGGAAGGCACCAAAATACACAGAAATAGGAAAGCATGCAAGTAAGATTTCCCCGAGATTATAGAGTTGATATCCTAAATTGTGATGTCAAATATTGTACTGCCTGTTATCGTCAAGTCAAGGTTTCCTGAGATAGAACTGACTATTCAACACTTGTGATCAATACAGTACAATGATTAAGAAAAAAGGGACTCTTGATCAGATTGCCCTTGCAAGTTATCGTGATAATAAACCGAACTCGTGATGCTGGGACTGAAAAAAAAAAGTGTAAACTTATCAAAGAAATGTTTAGGCTATCATCGTCATCATCATCAACTTCACGCGAGAAGATCGCAGACATTTTTATTGATTGTATCATTGGAAGTCTGAATGTTCTTGAAGTGCCTGAAGGAAGGATCATGAGATGTTGTCCTTTAGTTTAGATACAATTTTCTTGTCCTTTACTCTCCTGTTCTGAAACCATATGGTGACCTGTCTCTCTGAGAGGTTGGTGGCTGCAGATATCCTCCTTCTCTTGTCCTTATTAATGAACTTGTTAATGGCATACTCGTTTTCTAGCTCTTTGAGCTGCAGCTTGGTGTAGGGCACCCTCTTCTTCCTCCCACGTCTGTATACACACATATCTGGCTGGTTCAGTGCTACATCTCCTACAGTGAAGAAAAAAAAAAGTGACCAGGCATGAAACAAAAACTTCTGCAGCAAAGTGTTCTCTGCTGAAACAACCGATTGGATCTTTTGAGCATTTAGCAACCATTAATCTCAGATATTAAAGTCAAATCAAGCAAATTATTCTACGCCAAATGCATTCATACCTTAAGGGACTATTTACTAGCAATGCAATGCTTATACTGGTCTTTGTACAGTTTAAAGTGTATCTATACCACAAAATAAACCTTGATATATAGCAGCTTGTTAGTCCTTAGATGATGTGGCTGCATTCCTTTTCTTTTTTTATGAGTATTTGCTTTATTTTCACTTGGGGATGCGGCCAGTAACACAGTTCCTGTGGTGTCTCCATTCTGCATGGAGGAGCAATGGAGACACCTTTGGACAGCAGCATTGTCAGCCTGGGGGGAGGACAGTGTTTGGTGAGCTAGCAGATTGATGGACTTGACTAACAGATTTAAAGCCACACGTCAGCAACCCTTTTTGTCTACTTCTGAGACACAGATTTTACATCAATGAATAAAAGATGACCACTGTAAGCACCCCAGTCATTGATCATTGGTTTGTCCCTACACTCTAACTGCCATTTTTTTCTTGGACAGCTTTATCTGTTATTGGAGGCTGAAAAATAACAGACGTACTAGCTGGGTAACCAGTTGACAATAAAGAAAAACACCTAAAAAGGAAAACTAATGCAGCCACCACATCTGGTAATCTGCAATATGTTACAATTTTGCTTTTGGGTTCAGCTACACTTTTAAGTATCAGTAATGCTACAGGAATTATAAACTGACATTTCCATTGAGTCTGATTAGGTCATTGAAATTTAGCACAGGCCATTGTGCAACACTCTTAGTAATCAGCCCACATATGTGTATTTGTGAAATGGTATATGCTTTTTATTAAACTGTGTATCAAGACTGTAGCTTGCAACATTACCAAAAGGAAACCTCAGTAGCTGAAGGCTATGCTGGAGGAATCACTGTTGTCTAGCACTGTAATGTGAAAGTATGTGTGTTTGTCCAATGCTCTTTACTGGCTTCTCCACACAGCACATAACTTTTCAGAAGCTTATATACATAACAGGGGAGATTTACTAAAGAAGTAAAGGCTGTTCACTTTACTGACCATGATCACACTGCAAAGTGAGCAGAAGTGAATGTGGTGAGGTGTTCACTTTGCACATCCAACCATGTGCTATACAACCCTGCTTCTTTATTTCCCTTGCACATGACCAAAGCATTCCAACTAAACACACCTTATTCACTAACATTCGGTTTTCAGAGTACACACTGGGGGTCATTTACCAAAACTGCATGGTGAAAAATCTGGTGCAGCTCTGCATAGAAACCAATCAGCTTCCAGGTTTTATTGTCAAAGCTTAACTGAACAAACTGAAGTTAGAAGCTGATTGGCTACCAAGCACAGCTGCACCAGATTTTAGGTGCACCGCTTTTAGTAAATCTCTCTCATTGACTTTGACACTTAAACAGCCTGTACTGTTTTAGTAAATCAAGTCCCTATAGCTTTTCAGAGGTTTTCAAACCTTATGCATCTTCCTACCTGCAAAAGAGGACTTCCAGAAGTGAGGGGCTTGAGCCTGATCTTTTGCACAGTAAACTTGACTGTTCCACCCATTAGCCAAAGTCCATGACTGGTAGCCTTCCATTGATATATAGGTCTCATGTCTGGGTTCCGCAGAACTAAATGTTGACACCATATCTAGGTAACCAGGGACATGTTGGTAGGGGTTAGTGTAGCCCTGAAAATAAGATACTTCCTTGGCTCTTGAAGACACCTCACTGCTGGGTACACTGGTGCTAGCCAGGCTAGATACGTCCATGTATTTTTCCACTGGAAACCCTCCTATGGAGGTATGGCTGGAGGACTTTAATGGGTTCTGCTGCAGACCTACCCCATGAGACATGCGACAACTATAATATCCGTTTCCAAAGTGATAACCATATCCAAGAGGGGCTGCAGAGGGCCCCGTGGACGCTGGGCAGGTTGGCCCTTCCTTGGTGGCCTCCGACCGGGTGGAGGTGGACCTCTCTGGGCCAGGGTAAGCTAATCCCGAGACCGTTCTGCTGGAGGGAGAGCCAAACACAGCCGGAGAAGAGAGGAAATTCCTGCACTGGTTACTGGAAGAGCCCTCTCCCCCTCTCAATCCTTCCATTTCCCACTGGTTGCGTTTGCTCAGAGCTTTGCACATCACGCTTTCCATCCAGTT